CTATTCTATTCTATTCTATTCTATTCTATTCTATTCTATTCTATTCTATTCTAATTCTAATTCTAATTCTAATTCTATTCCATTCCATTCTATTCATTTGCATATTTTTGTGATTGGGGACTGATGTTTGATTTTAATGTGTAAGTGGCTATCAACAATATGTTTGGGTAGATGTGATTTTGAATATATATATGTGTGTGCTTTATGGCCTATGCCTGGCAGAATTTGTAAACCGGAAGGAAGATTACTTGAAGAACATGAGGCAGCACCATTTTTCAGTTTAGCAGTTCCTTTCCCATCTCCATCCTTTTATGTACGCTGTATTTTTGGCTATTATTTTTGTGTCTCCTGAAGCCCACTTTAATATTATACATTGGCCTTTTTCAGTAGGGGAGGGTCTACTCTTGGGGGAAGAATTGATGAACGTAGCTTGGTCGGCAACCTCTCCAAGATTCAGCAGACATTTTTCTTTTATGCCTTTAGGTTGGGAAAGGATTTATGAATTGTTTTGTATCTTTTCTTGATCTGAATGTGAGATATAGATGCTTAAGATATAGTGGAGCTTCTTTTTTACTTTCTATAGGAAACTGCTATGAATTTTTTTCTGTTTCTCATATTTAAAATCATATTTTAAAGGCATATGATTTATAGAAGTAGTTGCAGGAAATTTGAATCACTTTCTGATGTTTGGAAAAAAGCCTGAAGAAATTGTGAAGATGAAAGAAACTGAAACTTTTCTTCCCAAACTGGTTGTACACATTTTTGAGGTGTATGTGTGTGTGTGTGTGTGTGTGTGTGTGTTTTTAAAACAGCTTTTGAATTCTGGAGACTGCCTGGACAAATCCCTGCAGTTTTCTTGGCAAGTTTGTTTGGAAATTCTTTTGCCATTGCCTGCTTCCCAGGGCTGAGAGGAACTGGTCCAGCTGGCTTCATGCCTAAGGTGGAACTAGAACTCACCATCTCCTAGCTTCTAGTCTGATATTTTAACCAACTGACATTTTTTATGAAATTAGGTACTGAAAATTAATTATTGATCGATAGAGCAACAGTGCTTCAAAGATGCTGAATTCAGAAGAGGAACTGTTTCAATGACAACAAATTCCATTCTCATATTTGAAAATCATCTTTATGCATTATAATCCTCATCTCTCCACACAGAATGTTTCTGAATTGTCTAAATTGGCTCCATCTTCCCAGTCCCCATATATTTTATATGATTGTTAGAAGACCCCCCATAATGTGACCCCTTTCCTTTTTTGTAGCCTCTATAACTAGCTAACTAACTAACTAGTTATCTATCTGCTAATCTCACAACAATGAGCACACATGGATAATTAAAAACACCAAAATAGAAATTTATAATAATGATAGTCGATAAAGATAACATACAGTATGCTGGAATCTAAAATGTTTCTGTTTTCAATCTATGTCAAAATCCAAATTAATCCACCAGCAGGGCCATGTCAGCCTCTCAACCCAAGTTTGAGGGAAATGTCCAAGTCTTCAAAATCTTGTGAAGGCCAGAAAGATCAAGGACAGCATGACTTCTGGGGAGAGGCTATCCATATGGCAAGTTCCAAAATAGAGAAGGCATGATTCTTAGGTCCCACAAGATGACATTTTTTGATAGATTGGTCCGGGAACATCTCAGCCATATTATTTTGGTAAGGCATGAACAAATGGAGCCCTCTGCATCACATTAAAATTCATGACCAGACCACAGCTGGTAGAGAAGATTGTGCTACAGAATCTCAGTCTTTACTGGGCAGAAAATAGCAATAGCAATAGCACTTAGATGTATATGCTTATATACTGCTTTTATAATGCTTTACAGCTGTCTCTACAGTTTACAGAGTCATTATATTGCCCCCAACAATTTGGGTCCTCATTTTTCCCACCTTGGAAGGATGGAAGGCTAACTCAACCTTGAGCCTGATGAGATTCAATCTGCCAAATTGCAGGCAGCTGGCTGCAGCAGAAATAGCTTGCAGTACTGCACTCTAACCACTGCGCCACTGAAAACAATATTCCTTATTATTCACCAAAAAGTATGTTTCTAAAGGGCTTTCATCTAAAGATGAAAACTTAGAGGGAGATGTTTAATTGCACCCTCTCGCATTTTCTGAGTGTCCCATAGTTGCAAAAAGTGAGAAAGACTGCCTAGAGGTAGCCAGGATGCCTATGGCAAATGAACGTTGTATTGAAAGACTGGTACATTTGTAGACTAGGAGACTTTCAGTGAAGCTTGCTACAGTCATTAACATTTCCAAAGAAATCAAGGATTCCCTAAAGCATGACTTAGAAAAAAAAAATCACTGATCTAAATGAAAGTCAAGTCATTTTTCAAAGGTTACTGTATTTTAAAAATAGGGCTCTGAGAAGGTTGGTTTATAATTCAAAGACTAAGATATATATGGACATGGAATTTTTGCAGTTTTATATGATTGCCTCTTGTGCTTTGTGCTAAGCTGAACATCTGAAGAAAAAACCTTGATGTTCTTAGTTTGTTCTAAGTAATTCAGAAGTAATACATGAGCCAATCCATACCATTGAAAACAGGAAAAGATTATCCCATCTGTAATTAGTATTGCTTCTCAGTGTCTCTAGGCAGCTTCTTTTTAGTTATTGATTAGATTGCTGTTTCTTAACCTGGGCAATTTTAAGATGGGTGGACTTCAATTCCCAGAATTCCTCAGCCAGCATGTCTGTCTGGGGAATTCTGGGAGTTGAAATCCACCCATCTCAAATTTGCCAAGGTTGAGAAACATTAGATTAAACCAAAAGAGGGATACATGATACCTGCATGCTGGCCTTCTAATTTTTTACACTGAGATGTCATATTATGGAAGAATGTCATAAAAAAAAACCCCCAATACTGTGACTAACCTTGTAATGCAGAGAACGACAACACAGATGATCGCAATCTGAATTGTTCCAATCACTGCTGCTATTAAGACATACTGAAATCGAACTGGGCCTGGAACCACATACAAAACGCTGTAGTCTTTCTTTTCACAGTGTTGTCCAGTGTAGCCCGCATCACATCTACAATGAGAAAGTACAGATGCCTTCACTCCTTTGTCTGCAGAGGTAAATTCATCTTCAAACAGAAGAGAAGGTTCTTGACAAGCTTGATAACTGAATCAAGAGACAGTTGTTAGGCATGCTTGATATAATAACTTTCTGAGGCCTTTCTAATAACTTGTAAGCCCCTCAGAGATAGGTTGTAGGGAAGATGGATGGCATAAAAGTTTAATAAATAAGTAATAAATAAGTAAAAGGCCAGTTATATCTTTCAACTGAAAAAATAGATGTTTGTAAGGTAACTGCCTATCTCAATATAGGCTAAGTTAAACATGTAGGTCACCTTTCCCCTTGTTGGCTTTCATATGTGCTGGGTTTCAGTGCTTAGTTAAAGGCCACAATGGTTGAGGATTTTAGAAGTCCACCACATCAGAAGAGCCTATATTTGAATGAAGCTGATCAGTGAATTGTTATTACTCTTTATTAAGTTACTTCATTTATACTTCTATTTAAATCAAATAATCCAGGACAAAGTTAATACTGCATTGGCATCTTAAAGAAAAGGAGAATATTAAGCCAACCACACTATTAATCTGTTTTGGATGAAACCATCTCTAGCCAGGGATAAAATAAGGCCTGCTGTTCAACACATCATTATCACTTCTAGCTATTCCTAATTTGTGAGCCTCCATGAGCACGGGCATGGTGGAAAATCTGCTTCAATTGGATGATATTACTGAATTGCACTCCAGGAGTTAGGTTGCTTTGAGGTCCTTTTGAAGGACTTTCTAGTGCATGCTCATACACAGAAAGTACCTCCCCTGGAACCAGGCATATCTCAGAGACCTTGGAAGGACCTGGACAGCTGAATAGCTTGATCCACAGCTCTGAGAAGTAGCATCAAGAAACAACAGTTATGGCGTTCTCCCTAGCATTAGCATAGAATAAATGTGACCATAGAAGAATCATGGGCTTAAATTTAGATCTGCTTCTATTGTACATAAGGTAGAAGTCCCTGGAAGAGATCTCTGGGAGATCAATACAGATTTTTTCCTTGCCTGCAATGGACTATACTTAACCGTAACTTCCCCACATCCTTTTTTTAAAAATTAATTTATTTCTTTATTTGTCAAACATGTATAAGATAACAAATGTAAGTATGAACATAAACAAGAACAAAGGAAGTAAATACAGATAAATGGGGACAGTAAGACAGGGACGGTAGGCATGCTGGTGCGCTTATGCATACCCCCTTTAAGGAGCTCTTAAGATTGGGGTGAGATCTACGGTAGACAGTTTGAGGTTGAAGCTGTGAGAGGCTGAGGCTGTAACGAAGGAGTCGGGTAGGGTGTTCCAGGTGTTGACTACTCTGTTGCTGAAGTCGTATTTTCTCCAATCAAGCTTGGAGTGGTTTACCTTGAATTTATATCAGTTGTTTGCCTGTGTATTATTGTGATTGAAGCTGAAGAAGTTGTTGTCAGGCAAGATATTATAGCAGATAATTTTGCGAACTATGCATAGATCGGACCTCTCTTTTTCTCTCAGCTGAGCTCCAATGGGGATTCAAAATGAAAGTAATCCAACTGAGGAGTTATTCTAAAAGAATGAGGGTCCTTCCAACCTCAGCCATGTGCATCTTTTCTTTTAAATCTGGACTCTTGCTCAGCCTTCAACATGTTGCATGCATTGAGTTGGTTGTGTGTGATTAACAGAAGGTGTTCATATGCCATTGATTAGCTCATTATCATTGCTCCCTTTGTTGAATTTGCTGTTTGCTGTGGATGTTTTATTCATAATTGACTGTGGAAATTTTAAATGTTAGGTCTAGTTATGTTAATTCTTGGGAATTATGTTTGAATTACAGCATTCTATAAATGGAAGGAAAATAAATGAATAAATAAATATTGGAGCAAATCTGTATTTACATAAAGTAGAACTAATACCATCATAGTACATCCATAGTACATCCAATCTAGCTTTCTAACATTTTTTTAAAGAGGATGATGCTGCCTCCACTGCTTCATATGCTGGATTAGAGTGAAAAAGGCAAGTTGGAATTCTGTTGAGTCAGTCATAGAATCAGTCATTAAAGTCTGCAAAGGATTCTGTTCTGCAACTGGCCTACAAGAAGCCTAGGAGAAGCCCTAGGAGGCATCACAGAGAGCAATAGCAGTTACTTATTTATAGCCAACTTTCAATGTTTCTATGTCTGTGATGCCTAACATTTGCTGAAAAGATGGCCAAGCAAGACCCCTGTCCAATCTCTTTGTTGGAGTTGTCTGAAGGACTGTCCACATGCTGCCTGTTTTCATTCAAGCAGTCAATCTAGATTTCCTTGGATATTCCTTGCATAAAAGGCACTTCCTATATTTCTCATCAATTTATTTTTTCTATACCTTGGAGTTCCTCTGGGGGGCTCCAAAGTCCTAAGTCTGACAGCTTAGGGGACTGGAAATCCAACAATCTACCTTCCTGCTTGGCCGCAAACTTTGCTATTAAGTGAGAGAAGACAAGACTGACTTAAACTCCATTACAGGCAATTGCAATGCTCCTTTCTGAAACTAACCTTATTTCAACCCTCATCAGTGCATATCTTCTGTCTTCAGCCATTTTCCCACATGAAGAAATTGATGTTGACATAGTTCTTGACTTTTGCTCACTGTGGGATTTCCTGGGACAAAAGCTGTTGGCCATGTGCTAAAAATCAACAACAAATACCCTTTGGGCCAGCCTATGCCCCGTTATGCCTTTTTAGTTAGGAATGTATTGACAGACATTGCAGGAATGCTTTTATAAACAGATTAATGGTGCTGCATAATTCAGTGCTACTTGGCTACATACATTAGGTATCTCTGTACATAATTTAGATCTAGAGTAGATGAGGGTTCAGCAATTTTTTTACTGCATTGAAACAAAAACATATTTCATTTTACCAGGTGTTCCTTCCTGTTCAGGTGAACAGTTTGAAGAAAAAGTTACCTGCAAGATGGCTCCAGCATATTAGCAGAATGCTCACATTTTCCATGCATGCAGAAACCATTGTAGTGTTCTGGACATGGAATGTAGATTCCCCTGGCACTTTCTTCCAGCTTGTTGGCATTTTCTGTGAACAAGAAGCTCTGTCTGTAAATGCATTGCTAAGAGAGAAGGAGGAGGAGGAAGGAAGGGGAAGAAATAACAACAGCAATACCACACTTTTGCACTTCATGCAAAGTAGTCTTTAGGTGGGGAAGCAGCACCACAAATAATTTCATACTTTAATATATGTTTCTTGGTTTATGAAAAAAATAGGCATAATAAGAAGTTTATTTGCAATTCTTTGCAATATTGAAATTCTCGTATTATGTCATATGGTACAGAAATGGCTGATCCCGGCTGCCTCCTCACTGATTGCTTGGGGACACCTTCTGTGTCCAAAATTCATAGTGATTTATTATCCATGTTGCAAAGTAGCAATAGCAAAAATCGTAACAATTAAAGTAACCTCAATCTAGGTGTGTGAGTCTTCGACACTAACCAAATAATTAACAAGTCATTCCTCTAAATGTTGAGGTGTATACTATTAATTAAAGATTAGTTTAACCAATTTGCAGAACTGGGCCCACAGAGGCTTCTGAGAAAAGTGCTCTTTTTTATTAGCTCTTTGCTAACACTAAAGCCTCTGACTTTACCCTAAATTAGATAATGCATTCAGAGAAAGTCATTAATAACACAAGAACATGGCAAGTTGACTTATCACACAAAATAATTTGTCCTTTTAGTTTTGCTCATTTTATTTATATTTTAGCATAAGCTAACTTCCATTGTCCAAACTAATATATGAACTCACATAATTATCTTTTGATTTTTACAGTTCTTAGAATTTTGCAAGGCAGTTTTCCAAAGTAGAAAATGAATACAAATATATAAACATTGCACAAAAATCTATATAGAAGTTGTATACAAAAAAGCAAATGTTAAAGGAAAAGACAAAAACATGATATTGACTGAGGTTGACTCAGCCTTGCATCCTTCCGAGCAGAGGTGGTATTCAGCAGGTTATGACCAGTTCTGGAGAACCAGTAGTGGAAATTTTGAGTAGCTCAGAGAACTGGCAAATATCACCTCTGAGTGGCCCCACCCCCATTATCTGTCTCCCGAGTCCCAGCTGATTGGCTGGGTCTTCTTTTGTTGCCCTTCACAGGAGAACGGAGCTGGAAAGCAGGTTAGTGGGGTGGGGAGGGAATGGGATTTTGCAGTAACCTTCCCCCAGGAGTGGGGAGGGAATGGAGATTTTACAGTATCCTTCCCCTGCCACACCCACCAAGCCACACCCAAGCCATGCCACAGCCACCAAGCCACGCCCACAGAACCGGTAGTAAAAAAAATCTGAATTCTACTGAGGTTGGTAAAATGAGGACTCAGATTGTTGAGGGCAATATGCTGACTCTGTAAATGACTTAGAGAGGGCTGTAAGGCACTGTGAAGTGGTATATAAATCTAAGTGCTATTGCTATTTTAGACAAAACAGCATATGCTATATGAAGCTTCATGTTCAATCCATTTACATGGGAATGTGGATGAATTTCAGAAAAAGCAAACAATTGATAATTATACTTCTTAAATGTAGTCAAATGTAGTCTTAAATGTAGTCTTGGTTAAAAGTGATGACAGGTTTGTGTTAGTGTAGAATTGTCCAGAGAGAGAGAGAGAGAGAGAGAGAGAGAGAGAGAGAGAATATGAATATATATTCTCCAGGGTAAGCTGCCCAGAGTAATTCTGGAGATGGACGGCTTTTAAATCTAGTAAATGCATTTGTACTAGCCTCATCTCACCGTTATTGCATAAATACCCAGGGCACACTGGATAAGTTTACACTTTCCTGCTGCTTTCAGATATCAACCATGCTACAACATAGAATGTTGCTAGGTCCTGAGCAGCAGTGCTAAAAAAAATTTGGAGGAGGATGACCTTTGCCATAAACTAGACTTAATGAGCCCCTTGTTTGCTACATTAGAGTGCTCTGTAATTTGATATAGTTTTCTACTAACCTTTATATTCCCCTATACCCATCTAATGCGCTTACCCTCTCTTTAAATTCTTTCAGCCTGTTTTGAATCTATACTTTTTATTTTAATACATATACATCTTCCAGCTTTTTTAAAAAAAAGTTAGACTCTCATGTATCTTCTATGTTTTTAAATGGTCTACACCCACCCTCATTATACTGTTCCAGGGCTATAATAAACATTTATTAAATACATATTCATTTCTGAAGCTCTTTTCTTCAGAGTTAACATCTGTCAAAAAGTAAAGAAGTGGTGTAAATATTGAAGAAAACATTTCATGATGTGCAAACTAATTTAGAATGGAAAAAAGGGCTCAGTTGAACTCCAAGATGAATTTCCCTTATCATAATTTTAGCGCAAGTTTCTCAAATCTACCCGGAATATGTAATGTGTTCAATGGGGCTTCTTGGATGCTACACAGAATCATATTCTCTACTTCTCTATCAACTTTCTTTAACCTGGAGATCTTCAGATATGTGGCCATTGCCAACTCTTGGACTTCTCAGTAACCTGCCAGGTCATGGTGAAATCAAGGGATTTTGTTTCCTCATATATGTACCAAATTGCAATTTTAGACATTCAGCATTTTTATTTCAGCTCAAAACCTTGACAAATTGCTCCTTTGCATAATCTCATAATTCCAAAAGTCAGATTCTGCAGGCAATATATTTTAATTATTAGACCAAGGCCTTGGTTTCCCGTATGATAATCACATTAGGAAAGACCATGGGTATTTCTTTATGGCACAGTTTTGTAATTATTCATAGAGTAATGCTTCAGATTATGATTATTTCAACATTAATCACTTTGCAGTTATATTATGTTTGACAGCTCATCTTCAAATACAAACTCTCACTGTACTTATTAGATAGGAAGGAATTATTTTTGCTTTATTGAGGTAAAGTTTTTTCCCCCCTCTTTTTTTCATCCTTTGCTCTTTATAGCCAAATTTATATGGAACACAGAAATCTCAAAGCCTAGTGACAAAATATCTCTTCCTGTAAAAAACAGGTTTATCTAAGTTGTGTCATTTTTGACACATAAGCAATTTACCTTATGTTTGGATTTTGAAGGAAAAAGCATTACTTCCTTTTATCGCTCTCCACTTATTAATCTTATGCAATGAACAGGTGCAAGAGAACGTTATAGCATGGGTGGCTTATGTAGCAGTGCTTTTCAAAGAGATAACAAAATGACAGTTCAACAGTTGGGATGTGACTTCACAAATAGAATTCTTTACTGAAGACTAAAAAGCTGTATGCAGAGGTTTAAGGTCTTATAATCATAATATTTGTTTCAACAAATTCTAAGTGAGCAGAAGGTATAAATTTTGACATAGTATAAATTTTACACCTTTCTACAAGTTTGAGTACATAGTTACTATATATGTATGCTTGTTTACAGATTCAAAATAAAACTACAGTGCAAACGTCAAATGTAGAAGCCTTGATATTCTTCCAGTTGATTCAATGCCACTTTGTTTTATTTTACTACAATGTTGTTAGTACATCCCTCAAACGTCAATTCATTCATTAGGCCTATACTCAGTCAGATAAAAACAATTGTATAAGGGAAGAAAAACTCTGACCATTGCAAGTTATGAACGTGGTTCTATTTTCAATAACAGCTTTCTAAGCAACAGTCTCAGTATCTGGAAATGAAGATAATTTGCAAAGCAGGGAAGCTTTATAAAAAAATTCTTAATCCTTTCAACTAGCAATTTCAACTGTGAAAGACTATTAAGAAATGGAAATTACATGGAACCACTGAATCAAGGCAAAAATCTCTATTAGAACTACCTCCAAACTGGACAGATGACTACAAATATGCTGGAAAGTTTAGCTGACATGCCTCTAAACATTGTTCACAATACAACAATGTTAATACTACAAATGGTCGCATAGGATATCTGTCAGAAAGAAACCTGTTCTCCAACCTAGCTACAAACATTATATACTCTAAAGCACTGTTTTCTTATAGTGTAGTCCCAGGAACTCGGGGGTCCCTCATGATCCTCTCAGAAATTTGTGAAATCAAAATTATTTACCAGCCTATATTGATAAATAATAGTACTAAAGTACTAAAATTCTATCAATTGTGAGAAGTGGTACTGGCAACCAATGTACACATTTTCATTTTTAATATGGCAAATATTGATAAATATGTCCATACAAACAAAAGCTCTTTGGGGGACCTGTATATTTTTTAAAAAATGGAAAGGAGTTTTAAAAGAAAAAAGTTTAAGAAACACTGGTCTAAAAATGTAAAAGAAAACATTGATAAACCTGAAATATTTTGGAATAAAGTGTTTTATACTGATGATAAATGCCTTGGAGCAGGAGTTCCCACTATTGGGCCATGTCTGTTCAGAACCAGGCCACACAAGCAGGCGAGCGCAGATGCACATGCCACTCCACTTGTGAGAGTGGCAGGCACACGCAGTTGTGTGTGAAGTTCCATTTGTGTGAGTGGTGGGTGTGTGTACTCACTGCTCGCATAGAGCTGTGTGTGTGAACACACACGCCTGTCTCTTACATGGAACCATCCCCTCTTCCCCCCGCCGGTCTGCAAAGCCAAAAAGGTTGGGGACCATTGCCTTGGATATATCGACACTAGATATATTTGGAAGGATGGAGATTTGAAGAAAAGACTCCATAATAATTGTTAAATACAGGAGATATTCTGTTGTGTTTGGGGATTTGTTTGTGAATGGTATAGGAAATATCACACAGTTAGAAGGAAGAATGGATTCATTTCCTAGAAGCTAATGTTCTACAGATTGTGAAAAAATTGCAGATGAAGAGAAGTGATAACTTCAGCACATCAACAATCCAGAACATACCCTCAAATTAACTCTTGAAGTACTTATTGGAAAGGAAGATAAACGGTTTGGAATGGCCTTCAGAGTTGTCAAATGTGAATTGTTATTGAAAATCTGTGGGATGATCTCAAGAATGCAAGCAAGGAAGCCATGGGTTGAGTGAAAAGAATTCTGCAAAGAAAAATGGGGGAAATTCCAAAAACAAGAACAGAGGTTGTTAGCTGGCCACAGGAAAGATTTGGAAACTGTCATTTTGGCCAAATAAAGTGTTACAAAATAGTGATTGGAAGGATACCCAAAATTGTGCACCTACCACATTCACAATTTTCTTATTTCAAATCTATAAAGAACTTAATGTTAAGAATAATTATGCATTCAGATTAGGAGACGAATATCTTTGCATCATAAAGAGGCTGCATTCGCCTCTGCTCACTTAGGAACTTTCTGAAAATACAATTTAACCCAGAATTACTTGAACTTTTTCATATCCCTGGAAAATAAATACAGCTTTTGTTTTATGATTTTATGGCAGCATTGCATGATAGAGTACTTGTTACTGCACAATAACAATTGGAAGATTTGACAAAACTTTCTGTAGAGCCTGGGAAATCACACTTTTTTTCAGTGGTATATTCCCTGATTAACCATAGGTATTTTTCATTCCAACTGCTGCTACAGATATACAATTCAGAAAGAAGATCTCTTTATGTATTACTACAAAGTAAAACTGAGGTTTGTATCAGTGATGACATTCAAATTTTTTTACTACCGGTTCTGTGGTGTGGCATGGCTTGGTGGGCATGGCAGGGGAAGGTTACTGTAAAATCTCCATTCCCACTCCACTCCAGGTGAAGGATACTGCAAAATCCCATTCCCTCCTGTTGTGATTGGCAGGATCAGCCCTGTTAAGAAACTTTGAATCTGATGACTGTTAGATCGTGGATTGACGTCAGAACCAGGAAACGTTAATCTGAAGGGCAAGCCAGTTAATTAGCACGTTGCCTTAATGGGTATAAAAGGACACAGCTGAGCTAGTGCCTTTTGCCAGAAACAAAATGTCTATTTGAATGAGGACGTTACTGCAAAGAGATCTCTGTTTGTTTGAATTTTGAAGGGGAGTTCTAACCGTTTCTGCCAGTCGTTATCTTGTTATTTTCCTTCAGTTTGATTTGATTGTGAAACGGCTGCTTTGTGTTTGTTCGTTTGAATCTCCAAGAGTAGACATAACATTATTGTTTCTGGCCTAACAAACCATCTTTAAAGCAAGATGGATTCAAATCAACTGCAGCGTTTGGTCGAGCAGCAGCAACAGCAAATTAATCAGCTACTGCAAAGCAATGTGACGCTTCAGAATCAGGTAACACAATTGCTGAATTATGTTTCCAGCTTACCAAGCCCTGCTGCTGTTCCCCCTGCCCCTCCTGTGAGGAAAAGCCCAGTTTCCATGCTGGAGAAATTTTCTGGGCAAACGGACATGTTTCCGGCATTTCTGGGGCAGTGTCAATTATTTATGTCCTTGAGGCCTGAAAACTTTCCAAATGATCGGGCCAAGACAGGATTCATTCTTAGCCTCTTATCTGGGCAGGCTGCTAATTGGGCTACTCCTTTGTTAGTTCAAGATAGCCCGTTGTTGAATGATTTCCAGGGTTTTCTTCAACAAATGAGAGTGATGTTTGAGAACCCAATTAAGATACAAACGGTGGACAGACGTTTATGGGACATAAATCAGGGGAAACGTTCCCTGCAGGATTACGTTGCAGAATTTCGTTTGTTATGTTTGGAATCCAACTGGAACGAACCGGCTCATATGGCTGCATTCCAGGAAGGCTTGTCTGATGCCATCAAAGATGAGCTGGTCCATGCAGAGAGGGCTTTAACTTTGGATGCATTGATAGTTCAGTGCTTACGAATTGAAGCTCGTTTACAGCAACGTGGACACAAACGGCTCGGTATGGAACCATCTTCGTTTTTTTGTGCACAACCCACGCCACCGAGAGTTTTCCAACCCATGGTTAAGACAGAGGAGCCGTTGGAGTTGGGAGCACTCCGCCCTCGCTTAACAGCGCGGGAACGTTCGAGACGGTTCCAGGAAGGCTTGTGCCTTTATTGCGGGGGTCTGGGACATTTTGTTAATTCCTGCAATCGGAGAGGGAACCGCAGACCCGTACCTAAAACCACTCTTG